TAGTCGGAAGAGTCGTATATGCGAAGAGAGTTCAATTCATTTCTGCGAAATATATAATTACAAATTCTAAGGATTAGATTCGATCTCGAAAGATCAGTCTGTTAATTCGATTCCGTTAATCCTCGTGCCTTTACGCGTACAATCTTATCTTGAATACAATCAATATAGGAACGGGATTACCGATAAGGAGAGCGTCAGCTGGTTATATTTTGCTCGGAAAAAAAAAAAAATAATTTGAGTATATTCGATCGATATAAGAGACAAGGGGAAATAAAGTTCATCTTCGAACGAACAACTTTCTTTATTCCTAGAAAAGATATTTCAAAAATTCTATATCCGGTCTACGTCGGATTTTTTTTTTTTTTTTTTTTTTTTGAGAGGCGAATCCCGTCGCAACAATTGGATTTTTAGAATACAAAGATGTTGCAGAATTAAATCAAACGGTAATCTCAAATTCGGAATTTAATTTTGTCTGGACTGAATAATATTCGAAGTGCATTTCGAATGTTCCCTCGCGGAGTATGCAACGCGGTGGTTGATTGGTTCGGTGGTTCGGTCGTTCACGAGTTGGCTTCAGGTATGAAATTATACTGGTGACGTAATTATGAACTCTCGTACGAGCGTGTCGTTCGAAAATGACACTTGACCCGTTAGATTCCCATCATTTATGCGAATCGAGTCAATGTAATTATATGATTACATCGGTCCAAGTGAGTTACGATTTAAGTGACTAAACATCCTATATATAGTTACTTATACGTAAAATCGTCGTACCAAAATTGCAAAAGTTTAGAATCGTCAATATTAGGACGTAAAAAAAAAAAAAAAAATTAATGGAAAATTCAACATATAACTGTACGGAAAGTAACGAACTTTTGATATTCAAAAGATCAAAAGTGTTGAAGGAACGCTATTTTGAAGGATAGAATATGTTTGAATCTAATATTTCCTCGAAGGTACATACAGACATCGTAAAATCTCGCTATATAATTTCATTTCAAAAGAAACTATACGTACCTACGTTCACAGGCAATGAAGTTCACGATCAATTTTCTAACTTGATATATGCTCGAAAGCAAGGAACTATTTTTAAATTCGAGTCGCAATATATTTCTCGTGAAAATCGCGATTAAGAATAGAAAATCCATTTCGTCGCTAGCTGCTCGATGATCGTTTCGCACAAATTCTCGTCTTTCTTTTCCTTCGGTAATCCCAGTAATCCTCCATCTTCGATTTTACGTCCATCTTCGAACGAACATCTTCCTTTATTCCTAGAAAAGATATTTCAAAAATTTTATATCCACGCCGGATTTTTTTTTTTTTTTTTTTGAGAGGCGAATCCTGTTAAAAGCTCGAACAACATTTTGTTCAAAATGGAAATGAAACGGCCGAGCCGCGATAAAATTGATTTTTCCCCTTAATCGAGTGAAACTGTCGGCTTATCGGTTTTTTTCGTTTCCCAGCAACAGCGGCGAGCTTCGCTCACGTTTTTCCGCTTCGCGCTAATCTCGTTTCTGCCGCGAGTTCCACTCGCTCCGCTATTCAATCGTGCGTCAATCTTAAGGAAGACGAGATTTTTCATCGTGAAAATTCCATCCGACCGAGTGTCAAATTTTCTCATAATTTTTCTGTTCGATTCAAAAAATTTTGCAAAAAATCGTCGCAAAATCGTTGATTGAACAGAGATGGGTCAAGTCAAATCGAAAATTTCTGTTGGAATCGAGTCGAATTCCACTCGGGAAGAACAGCTCGTGACTCGAGAACGTTGAACTCGTTGAGAATTTTATTATGCAGGATTCTTTAAAACGTCTGAAAGATCCGAAACCATAGCGGTATTCAATAAAGCTAGTCTTGGAGGATCGTTCGAGTTCTCGAAATTCTTTGGGATCCCGGCATTCTTGAGTCACGAGATTGCTTTCGGCAATCCGATCTCTTCCTGACCCGATCCTAAAGTATCGAGTTCCTAACATTTTCGGATCCTTTCGCACCATGGAAAACTTTGTTCGTTGAAACGCCAACGATTTGGCCGTCTTAACGCTTAATCAAAACTGTTGACACCGTTTAAACATTTAATTTCATTAATCAATATCATTTAGACGAGAAGAACGAAACGTAAGCGGATTTCTTTTGCAAAAAAAAAAAAAAGCTTAAATAAAAATTTATCTTTTATCTCGAAAATCGCAATGCGTAACTATATATATCTTAGATGTATTTTTCGTCCAAGAATTTTTTTCTACGTTGAAATTTCATAAATGCATGAATATCCTCCTCGTGTCCACGACACGAAACATCCTTAAGACAATAAAACGAGTTACACGAATGAAATCATTCTATCTATTCGTACGTGATCGCGCTTAGTCGTCACTTGCAAAGTACAATTACGCGAACGTTTGACCATCGACGTTAAATAGCCACGCTCCATTTTCCGACGTGCGTTGCATCAAGAACACGTAACGCTTGTGCGGCCAATCCTGCAATGGCTCTTTATATTGCTCACGTGCTGTAGAATGTGTTCGAATCAACGCTCGTTTAATCCTAGCCAGCCTTAAATCTATCATGCCATTGTACCGTAATAATCTTCCGTCCAGACGATGGATACCAACTCGCTGGAACTCGCGTATTCATCGCCAATTGCTGATTCCCCGTATCGATTCACTTACTTGCTTGCTTCCGATCTATTTCTATTTTATCCGCGCACGTCTGGTTTCCGAACTGGTTTCCTCGAAACTTTGCAGGGTAAACGTTCATAATAGTATTTTTGCTCCAACTTGAAATATCTTGAAAGGGAAGAGATTCGTTCGATCGATTTGCAAAATTTGCAATTGTTATAGGCGATTTATAAAAGGAGAGATATAAAACAAAAAAAAAAAAAAAATTGAAGATTTACGGAACGTAGATCGTTCACGACGTTGTAAATTATCTCTCAAATTAGTGCGATGTTGCAAAGTTGCCATTTATTTATTATCGAGATTTGAGACGCACTTTCACGTTGTTCGATCTACCTCCTCCAATATTATTTCCATTAAATCGTACAATATTACGACAGAAACACGGAATGTTAATCTGTAAGGGAAAAATCATTTCTATTTCCCGGAAATACGAATATTAGCAATCTACGCCAATCGTCTCTGTTCTCGTTGCCTCCAACCAGAGAGATCGTTCCTTGGATCGCGTTAAGAGTAACACGAGCGTCGATTGAAATTGACATCCATTTGTCAAGAGACGTCTAGTCGGTGCTCGGCACTCGCCAGGATCGTAGGGTTCGTGAAATCTGCTCTTCCTTCTCTCTTCGCTCCACCTCATCATCGTTTACCCTCGATAAACGTTTAACAAGTGGTTTAACTCGGCAAACACACAACATCGATCGCCAGCCTGTTCGAAAGAAGACAATGGTTGGGTGCGATTAAATGATCGAAACGATCGCGAAATTCGTGGAACGTGAAATCGGTCGAATTGAAAACAATTCAAGTAACCGGGACGAGATTTTAACGAAGCGCGGAAAAAGGACGGAGTCGCGATTAAATTATTTATCGCGACAACTTCTCTCCATCCTCTTCATAAAGGAAGAAAACCTAGTGAGAGCACCTGCGTGAAAACATCGTGGCGAGTATGGCGAAGGTGAAGAGACACACCCCATTTTCACGGGGTTGAATACATTTTTGTGCATGACGAATCGTCGAACGATAAACCTGACGACAGTTCGATATTTCATTGTGGCGTTTGATGTATCGCGGCGATACTTTCTTATCGATCGAGCGGTGAAAATATCGCGTCATTAACATTCACGATCACGTATTTCGGATTACCGATGCGTGTTTCCAAGACGCCGCGTTACCCAAAACTTTTCAAGCTTTAAATCCTTCTTAGGAAGCGTTCGAGTTTTAGTTAAGCTCGTTAAGTCTGGCAAGACCGAGCTCGGAAGCTCTCTCGAAAGTCTCCAAGTTTCGAACCGATCGTTTCGACGATAACGTTTTAACGAACTCGAATCTCTCGTTGTCTCTCGTCGAATTTCTTTGGTTGATTTTTTCTTTTCTCTTTTTCTTTTTTCTTGACGCCAAAAATCGCGTCAAAAGTTTGTCGGAAATTCGTTTGACGATGAAAGAAAATACGCATGCGTGACTTTTATCAGTAGCCACGTAGTTTCTTCCTCGAGAGAGAAATAAATGCGTATCGTCTAGATTCTCTTTTGATATTCTCTCGCGCTCTTCCTCTTCTCTCCCTCCACCTCTGCGCGTTTTCTTTGACGATGGATCAAAGAGCCGTTTTACGCGCGCATACGTGCGCCGTTCTCAAAGAACGATGACGAACGTCCTTTTTGGCGTGCATTACAGTATGCATCGGCTTTGTCGATTCACAATACGTGCAAGTTGCGTGTTCGGGCACGGGGGAATGCCAATGCCGTGCGAGAGACACGAAAAACGTGAGCATATATATATATATGTACGTATCTCTACTGAAAATTCGCCAACGTCGAGTCTTCGTCGGGGACAATGAGTAATATCAGAATGGAAGTTGGGGGTTTTGAAAATATCCTTTCAGAATTATAAAATGGATCGTGGTTGGTGGAAAGGCTTCCGACAGTGGTAAATCGAACGGGGAATGTTGGATTGCAAAAGTTAGGCAAGCAGAATGGAAAGTTTAATCCGAAGGAAAGGGCGTGCACCTCCTCCATTCCTGCTCTCCATTTAAAAAAATTCAAATGCAAATTTCAAAGTTCACGAAACGAAACGAAATGAAAAAAATTTACCGTATTTCCCCCAAACATA